TAGTCCAAAGCATTTGCCCAAAAGTTCTTCATTCTTTTGTTAGACATTGCCAAAAATGTCTCCATTGACAGTGGAGAAAAGGAGGAGTGATTTTGAAAGGAAACCCTTTGATAAAATTTTGAAAAAACACATACCTGTGTGAGGGATGTGTTTCTACCCCTAGGCAGAAAATGAATGATCCACATTCTCTTTCAAGAGATGTCTTCTGGCATGGTGTGTAAAGCCAAAGGTTGTGAGGAGATCAAGGTTTTAGGATCAGATTCAGGTATATTTTAATGGTAGCCATCACAGAGTCTTGTGGTACCTTAAAGACTCACAAATTTTATTTCGCTGAGCTTCCAAAAATGCTGCCCTCCTCATCAGATGTGTAGAGTGAAGCCTCTATAGGCAGACAGTTGTAGACAAACAAGGCAATGGAGTTGGGATATATAATATAAAAGGCAAGAGGTACATGCATGATAATAGGTTCATATGGATTATGCCTTGGAAACATCCTATATACATAAATCAAAAACGAAATATACCATGTTCACTGGGACGTGATGCCTTTTAAGTATTGTATAGAAAAGCTGCAATCACCTTGAGAAAAGGATTCATATACTCCATTCCATATAGGAGTTTTTTTATATGTCCTGTCTTTTATAATCTTGCTCTTCTGCAACCGTAATAAATAATGATGATGTATAGGAATGCAAACTGAATCTGTACATAGCTCTACTGCTACAACTACTAGAGTCCCAGTGAAATGAGGAAGGTGGCAATAAATTTACTACAAAAACAACCTTTTACCTCTTGCTAACAACAGAAGAAATTTCTGTTGTTCATATCCTGGAAGGATTAGGTTCTCCATTGTTCTGACTGAGGAGGTATGTGGGGAAGGAAGGTCAGTTCTAATATACTATAACAAAAATCCTCAAGTGGTTAGGTGGATTTTTGGGGGTTTAAGTTTTAACTTGTAAACCACTCAGAGTAATGTTTGCACTAATGGGGTGGTATATAAATCAAATAAATAAATAAACCCAATCAATCAATGCTGAAAAATGAAGGAAGCCCCCTTTTGGACAGATTTCTGGCCCAACTTACCTGAGTATTTTTCCAGGTAGCTGTCATGCAGGGCCTTGGGCCAGCAATGAAAGAAAGCCGCAGAATTAACAAGTGCAATCCCAATTCTTTTTTCCCCAGATGTTTTCTGTCTTCTGAAACTACAGGATGCATGACAAGGAGGGAGAAGCCATAGATTCCAAGGCTTAAACATGGATCCCTTTGAGATTTTTTGCCACCTCATCCATTATCATTAATGCCTCCTTACATATGGGATCAAGCACTTTGAATGTTAATGGTCTGGGAATCGGAACCTCTATTGACCTTACAAGGGAATGGAATGAATTCTGCACATGGAAGATGGGCAGTAAAACTCCAGAACATTCCAGAGTGACATTGTGGGGCCTACTCAGTACAGATGCATAAAACAGGTCTTCCTGCTTTTCTATGTCAGGAGCGATGCTGCACATCCATTTATTGAAAACAGTGGCCTGTGCCTGAACTGTAAAGAATTCTGTAAACGGACTGTAGTTTTGCAACAATCAGAGACAATTTCTATTAATATATGGGTCTCTACACATGAATAAAAACCCCAGCCTATCTGCCCTTTTTCTACTGAAAGCTGTATTTAAGTGCATTTAAGCACACATTTTTAGATACTGTATTTTTCACTCCATAAGACGCACTGACTATAAGACGCACCTAATTATGGAGCAAAAAATACAGTACATCGAATCTTTCTTGGAGGAAGCCGCCGGGGCCCGCCCGGGGGTCCTCCGCTACCACAAGGGCAGGGGGAAAGGATGGGAAATTCGAATCTCCCATCCTTTCCCCCTGCCTTTTTGCCTTCAAGGTCTGCAACGGCTCCCTCCGATGTCAGGGGAAAGCCCTTGGAGACCTCCTGGGGATTCCCCGTCACTGCGATTGGAGTGAGCCCTTGCAGAAGTGTATTTGCTCCATAAGACGCACATACTCCCCTCCCTACTTTTTTTGGGGGAGAAAGTATGTCTTATGGAGTGAAACATATGGTATATCACATTTAAGGCCATTAGATGTTACAGACTGCTAAACACTTCTCAGCTGCACAGAATCACCATAACAAAAACAATAGAGTTCCCTTTTCTAGCACAGACATTACCAGGAAAAGTTTATGAGTTTGACGAGAAAAGAGTTGATTTGGCAGTTCTTGTAAAGCAGAGCCTAGAAAACTGTGAGTTTGGAGTTTGTCTAACTTTTTTTCAAGGAGAAAAATAAAATTCTTACACAAACACATACAGAGAGACATAGCACATTCAGAAAGAGGCTATAAACAGTTTACTATTTTTCCCCACAAGAACAGAATCAAACAGTACAAGCATCTAGTAATTATGGTGTTTCCCCCTTCTGAAAAATATTATGTGATAAGGCATGTCTCCCATTTAGTCTACCATGCTATCTCTGTCTAAAAGGTATTTGAACTCCAGACATACTCCAAATGTGCAATCCCCCCCAAAAAATCATACACACAATTATTTGTTCCCAAAAAAGACAACTCATTAGGGTTCCAACCTTTGTACAGTGATGCCTCGTGAGATAAAAATAATTCATTCCACGAGTCAGTTTGTATTGCGAAAAATTTGTCTTGCGAATTTTCCCATAGGAATGCATTGAAAAAATTTTTGTCTTGCAAAGCATGGCAATAGAAAAATTTGTCTTGTGAGTCACCAAAAATCTTGTGAGTTTTTCATTGCACGAGGCATTCGTCTTGTGAGGCATCACTGTACTAAGAAGAGACTAAAATCCAGCTGACACTGAGGTCCAGATGAACTGGATTCCCCCTTACCAATTCTTATGGATGCTGCTGAACTAGGCCAATGAACATTTAACACTGTTCCTTCTGAAAGGTATAGTTAGCATAATGATCCTTCTCTCTGGCAGAGAAGATCTTACAGATGCCCATCCAAATCTACTAAAGATTGTGATGTTGTCACTTGGGAAGCTTGTGATGATAACATCCTGTTCTAGAAATACTGCTGTCGAACTCATGATGAGCCACCAATACTCTCATCACATGCCCAGGCCCGTGTACCCATTTTCTATTCTCTGACAAGAATCCAAAAGTTACACGGTGCCAGATTTAATTTCCAGACCCTGCCTATGATGCACGAAGCAAGGATGGGAGGGAAGAAAATACCATTCCTGCTTTGGAACTCATCACTCATTCTAAGGGCTTGGGTGAGAGACTTTACAGAACCCCTTGGTTTTCTTTTGCACCTTATCATATACACAATATCATTCTGCCGCTCTGCAAAACATTTCTCAGGCTGGCCCCATTTGCAGCCTGTGACCTTCAGCCTGTCCAGAAAATTCATCTGTTCCCACCTCACCCCATTCCTTTTCATGCGCTGGGCTTTGAGGCAGGCAGACTGCCCATGACAAAGTCTCTGCTATGTATGACAGCAAGGAAGGGAGTGACCATGATTTAGTCACTGGAAAAACCAAGGCAAATAAAATTGTGTTGCCAAATTTTGTTTACTAACCTCAGTTGATGTTGGCCTGGGCACAGGAAACAACCTTTTCATGCAAGACTCCTTTTCTTGCAAAAAGTGAGTGATCCCAAACCAAATTCATTCCAACAGGTGTAACTTTTTGCTCTAATAATTCTTTCTTTACAATTTAACCCAATTTCTACCTTCTAAGGAAATTTCAAGAGAAACACACAACTTTTATTATTCATGCTGTTCAGGTAGGATAGAAATGGCCTATAAGGGCATTGAGTCACCCTTGTCTTCCACAGATATTATCAGTGCTAGTTTGTAATATTAACACAGAGAAAAGCTCTCTCCCTCTTCATCTTCTCTGCCACAATCCTGCTGCTTACGTACTTTGTAGGAACTGTTTATTATGACCAAAGGTTTATTCAACCCTGTTTCCAAACCCTGTTTCAGAATAATGCTATATAAAAGACACATAAAAAGGTACAATGAAGTCATTAATCCCAAACCATTCATTCTCAAGCATGCAACCGACTGAGCATGAACCTGGCAGCCCACTCATCTTTTTTATTGAGTAGCCACTGGCATCTCAGCACATATTTAATACTTTCTAGGTTCCACTCATTGTATCAAGCATTTACATAAGAAATAACAAGTTTTAGAAATCTGAGGGCAGGGAACTTCTTTAAGCCAAGGAAAGTCAGTTTCAGAAAGGTTCTCAGGGGTAGAGGATGTAAATTCCAGTAGCAAGCAGGCACTAGGGCAAAATGCTGGGAGAATTTGAAGCTCTTCTTCCTAGTAAGCAGTTTTTTGAAGAAGCATTTCAACCATTTAGAATGGGGACATACTGTACAAAACGGGAGAAAGCATCAAACAATGGTATCGCAGGATAGGGGAAACAAATATCTGGGAAGTCCAAAAGGCCATACTGAGATCCTCAGAAGGCTGGGCTTGATCACAGGGCCTCACGTTCTTCCAGTATGATTTCCCTGTCACTTTTCAGGTCTAGAATTGACAAAATGCTATTATTTATGTAACGATAGGTTACAAGCAACCCAGGGTATGTTTTGCTTCAGTTCAGAATACCATAGCAGTTTGTAAACCAGGATGGGCAACTTATACCCATCCAAATGTTGTTGGATTACAACTCCCATCAGCCTTAGCCAACATAGCCAATAGTGAGGATGACGGGAAGTGGAGTCAAATAATATCTGGCAGATTTAAAATAAAACATATTTGCAGACCATCCCATTCCCTGGTGATATACCAAAATGTTATATAAAATGTGGAGCACAAAACTAAAATATAAGATGGTAATATTATTTCTTCTTGTGCAATTCAAAAAGCATGACAGTCCCTGTTCATATTTCTCCTGGTTTGCCCAAAAAGCTTGCTTTTCTAGAAACTGCACAGAATCAAGAGGGTACATAAGCATGCCTGCACTTGAAAGCCAGACTGAGTGTAACATATGTCTGAGCCACCTACCCTCCATACTGTCTTCATGGAGCATGTTGAAGTTTTCACAGGAATCCCTGCGGATGAGTGGATCTGAGGTGTTGTAGTCCACTGAGACACTGGGGCCATTCTCAAGATGTTCCATGCCTGTGGATCAAGGGCAGCATGGTTTGACACATCGGCTCCTGTCAAATTCTTTATGTGCAAACAGCCATGTAAGAAATCGGCAATATTAAGTAAGGAAAGGAAAAGTCAAATGAAAAATAGATGGAAAATGATACAGTAGAGTACAGATAAAGCAGCACTAATCAGGAATCAAAAGTCTAAATCCAATGTTGTAACAGCCTCATTCTCTCACAGCCCTCAGACTCCACCAGAAACTAGCTCTGAAAGGTTTTCCAGCTCTCCAAATCAGGATTTGGGGATCTGCAGAGGAAGCGGCTGCTATGGGAAAGGAAGATAACTCTGTTCCCAACTGCACTTCATTTTGCTATTCCACTACTGGAAGTCCACTGCTGGATACTGCCCAAAACAACTGACCTCTCACTAGGACTAGAGTGAGGGATGAGTTCAAGAAAGCAAAATCTCAGGCTAGCAGAATATCTTAAGGCTGGAGGCTACTGGTATGATGGAAAGGAATAGAAGAGGCTGATCAGAAGGCAAACTATGAATCAAACTAGACATTAAGAGGAATGCATATACCGTATAATGCACCCACTTTCCCTCTCCCAACAGAATTTCCTCAAAGATGTGTACCTTGCAACACAGACTTGCAAATTAAGCTTGTGCTTTCCTTCCACTGATCAATCACAAAACAAAGCACAGTGAACACAAAATATGGAGCTGAGGAAAATTATTACTGTGACAAATAAATATCCTTCACTAGCAGAGATCACTTCTTTTTTTTAAAAAAAAGTATATCAAATTAAATATATTGTTCCATTTGATCCTGTTATTTAGGCACGACCTAAGCTTGGTCTAAAGTATTTGTTTCAAAAGAGATCATTCAGACAACAAGGCAAGTTTGTAGGGGTTTGCTAATGATTATGATTTTGGTAGCTCAGTAAAGTCAGCAGAATTCTGAATCTCGTAATATTGTTCCAGGAGGAGAAGAAGCAAAATCCTGAATCAAGACTACTTGCCACAGCTACAAGAGATGATTCAGCAAAAAGAGGATCACACAGGTGTAACATATAGGAATGAGAGGAGCATGGAATGAGGAGCAGCAGCAAAGAGAAAGTGAATGAAGTGACAGCTACCAGTCACTGTTGACTATAAAATGTTATACCTTGAATCTTCTCAGGACCATAGGAGAACACAAATTCCACCTTCCCATACTCTGGAAACCGCTCATCTGCAATGAAGAAGATGCCAAAAATACATTCAGTGTAAGTTTATCTCTGTGCTGACCAAAGACATATAAAATGAGACGAAAATATCCAGTCTGTAGGAGAAGCTGCATTGATAGGGACCTGTTATGGCAGAGGTAAGGAACCTGTGATCCTCTGATGTTTTGTACTATGTTGTTGCATTCACATAGGCTGAAGCTGCTAGTGCACCAAACATTTTCACACTTTTGTGTAGATGGAGGATTCTGAACTTAAAATTCCAAATATATATTTTTAAAGGGTTTGTAGGGTCTTGCTCCAAAAAGATCATGTCAATTCTCACAGCTGTGACTCCTATGAGTATTTGGGACTTCCCTTAGTCGCCTGACACAATATCCTGTTCATTCCCAGACACCATAAATACAAATGCAGCTTCTTTTGAATGAGCACAGCAATAAGAAGGAATTCTTCCTGGAATCACTAACAGCCCTGAAGGCACTCGTATGACTCTCTCTCTCAGCCACTGATCTCCACTTGAGAGAGGCATGCAAGTGACTACACCATTAGAACTCTCAGAATGAGGACAGAAGCTATCTGTTACCCCCCTCAGTAAAGCCAGCATCACTTCAGTTGACAAAAATTTGGAATTCAACCAATCGAAAGACAAAAAAAAATGCCTACTTGTTATGGCCGATGCCATTTTGTTGCCAAACCAAAAGAAAGAAAGAAAGAAAGAAAGAAAGAAAGAAAGAAAGAAAGAAAGAAAGAAAGAAAGAAAGAAAGAAAGAAAGAAAGAAAGAAAGAAAGAAAGAAAAGAAAAGAAGTACCATGCTATTCAACACACTTTACTTCTCCTAAGGAAAGAAAGAAAGAAAGAAAGAAAAGAAGTACTATGCTATTCAACACATTTTACTTCTCCTAAAGTATTCTCCACTACATCTAACTTAGGGAGGCTACAACAGGTTGCAGCGCACACCACTCTGCACTCCTTGTCACCTCTTTATGATCCCGAGCATCTGCTGTCTAAAGTGGCTGCTTTCACTTTGCCGCCTGGTAGGCAACACAGGAAAGAAATGCCCCATGTCTAGAAAAGAGGAATGGTTACATCTGCCTATATTTGGACTCTTTATCCTTTCTCTGAGCTCACAAACTAGATATCTTCAAGAGTTTGCAAACATCTTAATTTGTGTATATTTTAAAAAAATTAGATCTATTTTTTACACTCTCTAGTGTTATAGTGTGGGATATTATATGAAAGCCGTAACACTGTTCCTCCCTGCATGAATGGAATGCATTTTTGTTATCCTTCATACGATCCTTCTTACCTTTAGAGGCATCATCCAGGTCCTCCTTATTGAAGACAATGGCCAGGTCATGAATGGCACATGTGTGGAACTGGACGCGGAAGATTACATCCCGTGTGGGGCTGCGGAACTCTTTGTGATAGCATTTCAGCTGCCAGAGGTAGGGGTTATTTGGAGGGGGGAGGAGAAATAGTGCAGGAAACAACCATCAGCTTGGGAACTTTCTGTCCAGAGAACAGAAAACATTTACAGCCATCTACAAACTTATGTCAGAACCTTTCATCCCTTCTCTACCTCAGACCCCTTTGTTTTGTGTCCCTCCCTACAAAGAGAGTGATAAGGCTCCCTATGGTGATGTCTCCAAAATGGATGGACCAACAAAAGGCACATCTAGTTAACTAAAACCACACATTAATATATATTGGAAATAAAAAAACAAAACAAAAGTTTGACTCTTACCAAAATATCTCCTTTTAAGAGTAGTCCAGGCTCTATAGTGATACAGATGCTGGTCTGGCTGTCTCCCTGAACATGGCTGCAGAGAACAAGAAGGAACCAAAGTAGGAAGAATAGATAACACACCCACAGCCACAGCCACTCATAAACAAGCAGATAGCTGGTATGTTATTCCTTCAACTTGGAACCATTACTTTTTGAAACCACCATTTCAAGAACCCTCTGTCTATGCTGTTTAGGGGATTCTGGATTCTGAGCCTGGCTAACCTACTTGGATTTGCAAAGGTCAGCAGAGAGGAACATCATGACAGCATTTCGACAGTGGAAAATAATCTTTAACAAACAGCGGAAGCAGGGGAAATCATGATCTCCACAAGAAAAGGCTTCCAGAAGTGCCTCCCTAGTATGTTTGCACCAGTTAATCTTCATTCTTCCTGTCCCCAGTTATACAAAGAGTCGCTCATACAGTCTACCATCTACTTCTCCCTCCAGATGTGGTCAGCACTTCCACCTCTGTCATAATGCTTCAGCTAAAGCTAAAGTATGAATAACAATTGGAATATATATTTCCAAAAATGGGGTGGTGGTGGAATCAGTCATTATGTGTTTCTTTGTTCAAATTCTCACAAAACCTATGCAACACCTAACGAAGCCTAATCCATTTAAAGCTGTGCCTCATTCTCCTTCGTAACGATTTTTGTAATGACCCTGCAGACTTCCTGACTTCAACATCCTATTCTTTGTCCCTCTGTGTCTCCCTGTTCCTGCCACCACTGCCTTTTGTTTGCTGAAAAGATCCTGAGATTTCAAAAGCATGCTCACAACTCTTTCCATATTTGGTTTGTCCTGATAATATGGCTTGATAGCAGATTTGGGATTTTGGTTTCTTACTGCGAAGGCCCAACAAACAAGTAATTCTCCTTGCTGCTGTGTAAATTATGCATCTGTAGCTAGACAAATGTGTTCTGAGTCTTACATTTCATCCAACATCCTGCTGTTCCATCTTTGTTATAAGAATCTAAATTAGTAAGTTAACAAACCAAGTAAAAAATGGTTTGGCCAAAAATCAGTCGGGACAAACTTTAATTGATTAAAGTGAGTCTGATGGACAGACTTATTGCCTGAAGTGAAGGAAAAAAAACCATTGAAGAGAGATTTGTTTTCTATGTCACCTTTCCTTCAGTGTCTTGGACAATTCATCTTTATGGATGTTTTCACACAGATTTCTTTAATAGAACATTTCTACAATTAACTAAAGTATTGGCTGGAATTCAGATAGTTGGTTACATAAATACATTTAACTAATGAATCCCCCTTGCTGTTTCTCTGAAAAATTAGCAATTTTCCGAAGAAGAAATCATTGAAGTTAAACTGAATTGGAAACCCTGCAATCCTAAAACCAACTTTTTCTCCCATTGGGACCTCTAACTCATCCTTCCCCATTCAAGTATCCTCCAGAGATTTTTATACCTCCCAATCATAATCCTGAAACAACTGGTTGGAGATAATGTAGCTGTAATCCACCCACCAAATACAAAGGATAGGAAAGATAGCTTTTGAAGTTCTTGGACTACCAGACCCATCATCTCTGATCACTTAGAACCACCTGTGGCATCAGCTAGAGACCCTACATTGGGAAAGGGTGCATGTAGACTTAAATGAGGAATGATCAGTAGATCATGTTGTCCTCACACTGAGACAGCCTTCTCCATTTAAGATTGCCATTCTCAATGGGTGCCAAATGGCTTCCTGGGGGACCCTGAGACATTTGAAGACTGAAAAGTGTAAACTTTCTGAAAGTAAAGACCGAAAAATGTGAAAGGTTTCTGAAAGATATCTGTTTGTCTTGCATCATTGTTTGAAAGGGGTCCCTGGAACCTCAGAAGAGCTCCTAAAAAGGCTGTGGCTAAAAATAAAATGTTGAGAATGGTTGATTCAAGGCACACCAAGTGTCAAATAAAATGAATCATATAAAGCAATGGTTCCTGATTTGAGTACCCAGATGTTTTTGGATTAAAACTCCCAGAAGCCTTCATCACTAGCTGTGCTGGCCAGGGTTTCTGGGAGTTGTAGTCCAAGAGCATGTGGGGACCCGAGGTTGAGAACCATTGATACAAATGATGCCCCCACCAGTTCACTTAAGTGTGCATGATCCCTATTCCTTCTCTTATTATCCTCTAGACTGCTGCAGTTCAACAGATATTTATGGCTGGGACTGGCTGCCTCTTTTGTGTTTCCCCTGGACCAGCCAAGTCAAAGCTGAATGTCTGTGTACTAAGAGCAAGCCACAGGCTCTTGTGCAGCAAGAGGTCCCCTTGAATCACACCTCTTCCCACGAAAACCAAGAGAGATCTGCTCTGGCCTGTCCCTATGAGAGAGACAGGAAATTAGAGTCCTGGAAACCAAAGAGTAATGCCAACTATTTGACAGTTACTAAGTTTACTAGATTTATATTTACTAGATTCCAGATGTGTAGACAAGTTGCATAGCCTGGTATATCTTGAGGAAGGGCCGACAGCCTAGGAAACATAAATGAATGAGAGAGAGAGGGAGGGAGGGAGAGAAGAGGCTTCATTAATCAAGGGCATTCGTTTTGGAGATGGGAACACACACAGTAAGACAGTCTCACCTGGGGACAAGGTCTTTTGTGACACTACCTGACCTGCGGGCAGCAGAACCAGGTCACTGACTGTGGCCTTGGGGAAAAAAACATGGCATGCTCAAGCAGCAGAATTTTAATTCAGTTTGAGTCCTACAACATCCAGACATCCCTTGAAGTCACTGCCTGCTGCTTCACGCCCAGCCCCATGTTGCAGAGGTGAGCGAAGTCATCCAAGACAGAAAATAGGAAAACCAGATGAGCTAATGCGATTTTGGTTGACAGCCAAACTCATGTAAATGATACAGCCAGTCTGCAGGACCAAGATACTCATATTAGATCAATTACATAGTATGGTAATTAAGCGTGACAGTGTTAGGAAGATAATCATATACCTTTCAGACAGCTAAAAGTTGTGAATTAATGTTGGGGACCCAATTAGTCCATTACGGAATTGTGACTTGGAATCATAGGTTTGGATAACTTAGTCATACTTAAAACAGATCCACTAAAATCAGCAGGACTTAATTTGGCCATGACTAACTACACCCATGATATGCAAGTTGCTAGGCTGGGGACCGCCTCATTACACAGCATGATTGTTATACAGTGGTGCCTCACAAGACGATTTTAATTTGTTCCACGAAAATTGTCGTCTTGTGAAAAAATAGGTCTAAAAAAAAAGTCTTGCGAAGCATCGGTCTCAAAAAAAAAAAAAAGGTCTTGCAAAGCACAGTCATAGAAAAAAAGTCTTGCAAGGCACCATAGTGATTGCAAAAATCCTGCGGGTTTTTCGTCCCATGATACAATTGTCTAGCGAGGGACCACTGTATCATTATTAAACATCCTGAAAAAGCTCTTCAATTCCTCATTCAGTCCTAGGAGGTTGTAGTAGCTTTTAAAATATGTTTTAGAGGCATCTGAGGTGATTCTAAATAGATGAACTCCAGTCCAATGTGGCCATGAAATATATGTGCCATGTTAATCAGCTAAAAGCAAAACTAGTTTGTTCCAGGTAGCAGATGCAGCTATAAGTGAAAGTTGTTGTAGGCTGACTCTATGCATGCAGCAGGAAAAGATGGTAGAATGCTGAGGTAGTACACAGGCTGTACCACTTCCATGTACAGGCACATGATACCATATCTGAACACCTCCCCATGTTAAAAAAGAAATCCCTGCATACAAAAAATTAGCACTTTTTTAAAATTTCCAAATAGCCTTTTTTACATCCTGCCTTCCCATTCACAAACCATTCTAACAGTAGCAGATCATTTACAAACACTGTCTTCCTACTGCAATCTAAATTCTGTATTCCACCATATCACTTCAGCATAACCTTACTCTTTTGTATCTCTAAATCACTTCTTAAGGACAAGCTGCAGGAAAGTGAAGCTGGGGATTCCTGCACAACCCAACGGCATGGTATCATTCAGTTTCTCTCCACTAGCTATGTAAGTATGCTATTATGTGTGATGAAAGATTCCGTTACCTCCTTGAGACTCAAAGTTGGGAATTCCATGCATGATGACATGATGTAGAAAAAGGGGTTTGTTGTTCATTTTGATAGCGCCAGTCAGCAGACCACTGAAGTAATGGACATATCTGGGACAAGAACCAAGAGAACAGTTAGTATCTGAAATCCTTAAGACCAGTGAATTCACGGGGGGTTGGTGGGTACTATTTTGTTAAAAATAGACAAAGCAGTATACTCTTCACATGCGAGCTTAAATTAAAATTTTAAATTGCCGTAGGCCCATTGTATAATTGTTTTTTGTACCTTAACTGTAAGAGCAGACATAAGAGCAAATCCATTGCTGTCATCTTCACACGTGATGGCCAGAATCCTACTGGTGTTCACAAAGAGACTGTGTAACTTTCCATGTCTAATTGTGCTTCATTGATGAGGTACTGGGCTTTGTGATAGGTGTGTGTCAAGCATGAGATGGACAGGGCATAGCACCTTGCCAATTACTTGCCATTAGCCACAGCGAATTACTCTGTCCCTCCACAAACATCAATAGGATTCTAGTCTGTGTCTTCAAGCCTAAACATTCTTTGATCCAGAGTCACCTCCAACACTTTTGTCAACCTCAGAAACCTAAGGTTGCCATCCTATATGCAGGTTGGAAAAGTTCCTTTTTTTGGACAACAATTCTTACTGGCTATGCTAGCTGGGGGATTTTGGGGGCTATAGTAAAAAAAAAGGAGGCTTTTCCAAGGTCTGCTCCCCAGTTACATTTCTTAGTTGACACAAAAGAGACATATATACCAAGAAAGTATCAGGATAACCATTTAACAAGATGGTCCTCTCCCAGGTTCCATGCAACAAATTGGGATATCTGTCTAACTTTTTTTTTGTTTTGTTCTTTTATACAGAGTGCAAACAGTCAATTGCCATCATCCTATGCTCGCTTATTCAATAAAGTCCCAATCAATAGTGCAGTCCTGCTACCCCATGAGGGCCAAATGGGGTTAGAGTTGCAGCGCTGGCACTTCTCCTGAAGTCAGGAACCTGCAGGGTCCCTTCCTATTGGTTCTATCAAATCCATCTTCTCCACTCAGGCAGCTGCTGGCTAGCCACTTTTCTCTTTGTGTGGAGGAATGTTGTCCTGTCCTGCTGTCCAAGACAGGAGGAACCAGCTCACCCTCTCACTTGCTTGCTTGATGATTAGGACAGCTTTGGTGCTACTTGGATTTCTGCACCCCAGTCTCTGTCTACCCACATGTCAGGCATCAACTAAAACCCAGAAAAGGAGCTGTCCTGCAACTCAATCATTGGGCTGCTTGGAAAACTTTGCTTTTACCCAACCGTGTGTATGTATGTGTATGTATCCCTTGTGTTTTGCACCATCCTATTGCTGAGTTCAGGAGGAGGGCTGGGGTCGAAGTGTGGGGCCATGGTAGGAAAGCTCTGGCAGCTGCTGCTGCTCCCTCATTTCACACACTGTGTAAGAATAAGGAGTGGGCTGCTCTCTGGATGGCCGCTTCTTCCTTCCCTCTCCATGGATTAGTGCTTCCCGCCCCTGCAACAGGCATAGCTAAATTATAATTTTAAGTGTGTAAATGTTTGTGCTTAGAAAGGAGTGTGAACATTGTGTGTGTGTGTGTGTGTGAGAGAGAGAGAGAGAGAGTCATGAAGGGACTGTGTACAGCTGTGCCCCACTTAACGACTACCCCGTATAATGACGAATCCACTTCACGATGATTATTTTTTTGCGATCACAATTGCAACAATGTTTTAATGGGGTTTTATCGCTTTTGCAACGATTGGTTCCCTGCTTCGGGAACCGATTCTTCGCATTATGACGATCAAAACAGCTGATCGTCAGGTTTTCAAAATGGCCACCGGCTGCTGAAAATAGCTCCCCGCTGTGTTTTTGGACGATTCCTTGCTTTAAAGGCACCGAAAATGGCAGCCCCTATGGAGGATCTTCGCTGGATGGTGGGTTATTCAGCCCATTGGAACGCATTGAACCGTTTTCAATGCATTTCAATGGGCTTTTTAATTTCACTTTACGACGTTTTCGCTCTACAGCGATTTTGCTGGAACGAATTAACGTCGTCAAGCGAGGCAGCACTGTACTACTGAATTTGTGGCTACGGTGCTGCTGCCAATGAACTTAGCAGGAATTACTTCTAAGTGTACATATACAGAAATCCTGTCCTAAATTAGCTTTTACTTTGGTTACAGATATGTGGCAAGGACAGGACTACTAGGCCTCCTTCATTTTCTGTGAAGATTTGTGTGTGGCCTGATATAAGTTTCCAGTGATTAAAAAGCTGTCATACACTTCATCTCCCGCTCTGATGCTCCACTGATGGACCTGTCTCTCTTAAAAGGAGAGTGGATGCTGAGATATTACCAAGGGCTACCAGAACCCTGAAAAGTTTCTGTTCATTTAAAAAACAAGAACACACCACTGTTGGTTCCAATGCCACCTAGTGGAAATGACTGGAAGTACATGAGAGGCTTAATAGGTAAGTTACAAACAACTTTTAAACACTCCGTGGGACAGAGAATGACTCTCTTTGCAACATGGGGAATAATATTTAAAAGGGCCAAAATTCTCTTGCATTGTTAAGCCAGGAATTGCATCTTATGAGTCATGTTAATAATGAATGGAACCAGAGCAGGCATAAAACGAGATAGTAATTCTTTCATCTCCCTGCTATAGTCTTGAGGGGGGAAACCCTCTTTGGAGCAAATATTTTGGGGAGGCAGATCCACCACTTTCTCCAGTGAGTGGCTGATGCCCACTGGGTCCTGCAGGGCAGAATTTCAGTATCTGGGACAGATTTCTTTTCAATCCATGATGGGTGCCTACAAGAAGATCTATGGCTGCTTGGCTTCTCTAAACTTATTCCAAGCAAGAAGTGATATAACCATCATCCTGACATGTCAAAGACACTGTGGCAGACAAGATGAGGCCTAGCATCATTCAAGAGACTCTTCTAGGCTGCTCTAGATATTTTGATACTTCTTCCTTCTGAGGCCTCTGTCAGGCAAAGAGGATAAAAAATGACAGTGAATCCATCTTCATGTATCTCCAGAATGGCCCCAGAATCCAACAGCACGTCCTGCACCTGTGTTTGAAATGCTTCCACCTCAATTAGAAACCACAGTTCTGGCTACAGTGATGCCAATACCAGGTTGAATAGCTCTGTGAGTTGGAATAGATGGCTGCAGAGCCAAGGGTTAAGAGCTCAATTCCCCACTATGTCTCCTGGGAAAAGTACAAGCTTCTGTAGCCATGAGCAAGCTGCACTGTCACAGCGTGCCATCGGAAGAAGGTACTGGCAATACACTTCTAAGTATACCTAAAAAATCCTAGAAAAGATGGGTATGAGCGGGAATCAACTAGTCAACACATAATTATCACTTACTGAAGAAGTAATAAAAATACACTGGAAGTAATAAAATACACTGAATGAAATACACTAATCAACTGGAATTAACTTTTATCCAAAAATTCAAGGTGCGATTTTCCTAAATGTGTATAGGATCAACGGCCTTTCAAATATCTCTGTGAATGTGCTCTGAGAGTAACACAGCAAAACTCCACTGCCACTACCCTGTCAAAAAATAACTTTGAAACAGGCCATGCTTAATAGGACAAACCTCTTCTGTGATGGCTGCCCTACTGGGATCACCTTGTCTTCATAGAATCTCTTCATGGCAAACCGGTCCAGAGCTTGGTCCGCACTGTGGAAGAAACAAAAATGTTGACACAATATGTCTTGGCTTAACAGAAAAAAAGAAACCTTCCAGTGAAGAAGTGGTTCCTTTCTTCTCCTGTAACATAACATATAAAGAAAGTTCCACCAAGGAAGCAGTGGAAAATATGGCTGTTCTGTTGTTGTTAAACTGCAAATTCCACGCACTCTTAACACTGGAATTCTTGGCTAGGTTTCAGTTGCAGAGTTGCAATCCAACAACATCCATGGAGCCACACATTTCACACACCTTCCTTCAAGCCTTCTCAAAATGTTCACAGGCTGGTTTTCTTTCCAACCAACAATGGCAAAATTTTTAGTGTCTGATCAATGAAACTGATACAGTGGAGTCTCGACTTAACAGTCGGCTCCACTTATATACTTTTCGACCTACGGACTTCTGCAAAATGTA